AATGTACCGTACAATGTACCGTACAATGTACCGTACAATGTACCGTACAATGTACATGTAAGAAAACAGTTTTACTCAGCTGCATTTTGCCAAAGAAATCTTCAGACTTTCTTGTTTTCTCAAATATTTTATTTCAATAAAAGCCAGTAACTTAACCGTGGAAATTGGTTCAAGTCAATTGTCATGTAATTTCCTCTCCTAATCACACGTAAATTTAAATCTACATGTACATTGTAATTCCAGAAATTAGGGGTCCAAAAGTGTGACATCTTTGTGTCACTGTTGCATGCCTTACTTCACACGGAAATATCACAGGAATTGATTTCAAACTATTACTATTTGTTTGGCTGGTAATTTGCATTAATTCATCACTCTTGGAAATTAGAAAAAGTGTTCTGAACTTACAGAATCATATCAGATGTGACAGGGACACCAAAAAATGGACTCCTAATTTCTGTATACACACTATGCATACAAGGTATCATGAACATGTACATGTACATGTAATTAACTCAATACCCAGTAAAATGCTGATCAACTTGTCATAAACCTTGACTTCAGTAGATGTGTAAACAACAGGTTTATTTATTCTACGCATGTAACCTGAAAAACTGCATACAAACATACATTGTACGCATAAATGGACAAAAAGTACATGTACCAGTATATATGTGCTTCTGTCCTGCATCATAGTTGTGGGGACATACACTCGATATTGCACCTATTTCATGGGGACCGCAAAAATGTTGTGGGGACTCAGAAATGTCCCCACAACTGGGTTCAAATTTCCCTAACAAAAGAACTTGTCCCCTGAACACGGTGGAGGCCTACATGTACATTCTTCCACAGTTGTGGGAGTCATTTTTTCACCTTGTTTGTGGTCCAATGCTGCTGATGTACATTGTATACCGTAGTTCTTGTTGCCACAACTCAGTCCCAAATTTTCCGACAAAATACAGGCCCCTTAAAAAACTCAAGGAAGCCCTGCCCATGTACCGTACTGTACGTACACTGTAATACCCCAAAATTCATATAAAGTGTCTCTTATGTGCACGTATGGGGTGCAAAATGAAAATTTTTATTGACAGGATTTTGTCCCGAAAACGTCTATTTGAACTTCTTCACCCTGGGAGAACCTTCCAGAGTCACACTATTTTTCGAAGGTGCCCAGCAAAGACAAACATTCCATTTTATATATACATGTATGTACATGTAGGCGGCAAAAGACATTGTAAGATTGGTAAAATAAACTGAAATAATTCATACGCAAAGTGATTAAACTGGGGACCTTAATGAGGGAATAAAAATGCGCTTTGCTGATCTTAAACGTGCAGCTCAGGAGAATGGACGTGACTAATGCTCCAACTGCGGGGTTACCAACCGGTATACTACGCCCATTTACGTTTCTGCTTTCCTTTCATTCAGATGCTTGTTGAGTTGTGCTATTTCCTTTCAATTGAGTTCAAACATCCCATACGATAGCAAAGCATCCCACCTGCATAGCATCGATCCCTTTATCAAGTAGTAAACTTTAATTACCAGTGCATACAGTTGTGTTAATAATACAGTGGACTGTGCATGGATTATGCTGAGGGTAAATTAGGTGCAGGTAG